GTGTTCGTTATAGCAAACACGAGGTTTTGTGTAGATAATTACAGGCACAGAGCAAGTAATGTAATTATAATAATAAATGACATTTATGTAGCGCTCAACCCCGAATAAAGTACACAGGCTCTGAGCGCTTTACAAAACAGTACAACATACAACAGTAACAAAAAATGTTGTGTTCTGACTAAAGAAAATTATTCCAAATATTCATCTTAATAATAAAAAAAACACAGAAACGACTGCAGCTGACATTTGAATGAATCAAAAGATTTGATCTCTCTCAAAGTACTCGGTAAAGCATTCTAGGTCTTGGGGCCTTGATATTCAAATGTCCTTTCACCCATTGTTTTAAGTTTCATAGAGGGTAAAATAAATTTCTTTTTGTCAGCTGATGACCTTAAACTGCGAGTTGGAATGTACAGTCTTAACAGATTTGATAAATATGATGGTGCAGTATCATTTAAACATTTGTGACACAGGGTGGCCAACTTGTTCACAATCCTTTTCTCAACAGGAAGCCAATGCAAAGTTCGTAAAAGAGGTTTAGCAGAGTCTCGCTTTCTTTTCCGTAAAACTAAACGTGCAGCATTGTTTTGGACAGTTTGAAGTCTTTTAACTTTCTCCAGTGATATTCCTGATAACAAGGAGTTACAATAATTAAGTTTTGATAAAATTAAGCTAGTTACTAGTAAAGTATTAATCAGATGACGTATTTTACTAATTTTTCTTATTTCTAAATACATGCAGCTGATTAGAGGATTTACCTCAGCCGACATTGACAAACTGGAATAAAAATAAATGCCAAGATTCTTAACTTTTCTTGAAAATACAATTTTTGCATCACCAATTGTAATGTGATCGTGGTCAACCCTTTTAACATACTTTGCATTGCCTGCCAGAAAGACTTCTGTTTTATTATCACTCAACATCAATTTATTTTTGTTCATGCAGTTTTTCACTAAGGCAATACATTTTTCAGCACGAAGGACAACAGAAGTCACAAGTAGTGCCTGAAATGTCTGCATATTATGAGCTGTGGGGGAAAAAAAAGACTGATTTTTTCAAATACACACGCCTGTGTCATTTCGATTGTTTACCAGAAAGTTGAGTTGCTGTGTAGAGCCAATCATACGGCAACTTTTGATTCCATAGACTAGAGCACAATTCATTACGTAGATCTACATCAGGACTAGCTTATTGTAATAATGATCAGTTGCCAAGGGAAAAAAAGACTGTGACGCGTTCGTATTAATAAATATATATATATATATATATATATATATATATATATATATATATATATATATATATATATATCTGCGACGTTCAACATCCGGACCGCTAGTGCCCCCCCCCCCTCCCCGACACGCACACACAGCCACATGTGTGCAGGCCGCTCATCCGACACCGACACACGGCAGAGTAGACATGTGCGCGTGCCACCAACACAAGTGTTGGTATTTTAAAAAGTCGCTCATGTCTTGTTTTAGTCTACATGCTGTTGAAAGACAAACCAACCCAGAAAAATTACCATATGAAAAGTAAGCACAAGAAAGTTGTAAATATGCCACTGTTAAGTTTTCGAGCACATTTTTCTTTTTCTTCCTTTTCAATTCATACTAGACAAGTACAGTCGAATCCAGTGGCGAAGCGTTTATATAAATATCAAATAATCACTGCTTCCCTTCCGAATTTTGAAACACTGGTGATGTCAAATTCACGGGCCATAAACCCCATAAATTAAATGTGAAAAGATGTTCATAATCACCAATGAACAGTATGCCTAACATTCAAAATGGTTTCACTGCCACAGCAATAGCCTGTTCATCCCTTTCAGGCCACTCCATAAGCAGTCGCAAGCTTTGATTAAGTAAGCTTAAAGTAAGGCTGGAAGAGTCTACCAAAAGAGTTGAAGGGAACATGTGTACAACACTCAAAATTGTTTCACTGTCACATAAATACCCTGTTCACCTCTTTCGGGCCACAGTCATTAGCAGTCAAAGCACTGATTATGAAAGCAAACTATTACACTGGTTGAGTCTACCTCACAAATGTGAGGGGAACTATCTCCTATTAATCTCTTGACTGCAGCGAGTGCTTGTTTTTTTCTCTCGACTTTTTACTGTCCTATAATCAGATTGTGACCTCGATTATGACACAGCTCCTGGCAGCGAAAAACTAGACAAAAACAGCCAAATGTGAAATAGAAAAACAATAATTGTCATGTTCTACCAAAAAGTTTAGACTCCCTGGTGTTGCATATAGTACTGCCATCTCAGCTTCTTTGCTTTGTGTTTGTGCATTCACATCTAAAGTTAGACTTAATGTTAGCCGGAATAATTATTTAATGAGATACTTTCCCATTTATTTTGACGGTTGAACATACAATATGAATTCAGAATTTGTTTTCTTTCACAACTCAATGTAGCTGCCTCGAGTAAGATTCTTGTGTAATATCTCCAGGCCCTATCTGATTTAAATCAGGCGGATTTTTTAAAATTTAAATCAACTTGATTTTTAAAATAAAAATCAGTGATTAAATCACTTTTAAAAAAACTATTTTTATTCAGTTTTTAACACATTTCAACATTCAGAATTCTTTTCCTTGGTTTCATAAAACAGATATAAGGTATAGTAGACTAGATCTAATACTAATATAATCATGCTTAAAAGTCTGCTTTCCCCCCTTTCACTGTAAAATAATACAGTATTCAATTTACTTTTTTTTCCATAAATTGAAATCAGAGCTGGGTTGATTTAAATCAGTTGATTTTTTTTATTTAAATCAACTTGATTTTTTAAATAAAAATCTGTGATTTAAATCACTTTTTAAAAAATGTATTCAGTTTTTACATATTTAAACATTCAGAATTCCTTTCCTTGGTTTTATTAAACAGATATAAGGTTTAGTAGACTAATATAATCATGCTTAAAAGTCTGCTTTCCGCCCTGTCACTGTAAAATAATACAGTATTCAATTTACTTTTTTTTCATAATTGAAATCAGGGTTTCGTTGATTTAAATCAGTTGATTAAAATTTTTTTTAATCAACTTGATTTTAAAAATAAAACTCAGTGATCACTTTTTAAAAATGTATTCTGTTTTTACATCTTTAAACATTCAGAATTCCTTTCCTTGGTTTTATAAAAACAGATATAAGGTTAAGTAGACTAATATAATCATGCTTTAAAAAGTCTTCTTTCCCCCCTGTCACTGTAAAATAATACAGTATTCAATTTACTTTTTTCCATAATTGAAATTAGCATTTTTCTTTTTCTTTTTAGACAAACACAAGCGCGCACACACATACACACACACACACACTGTATCTATGCATAATTACCCCCCCCCCCCCCTTCCTTTTAGACTGACATTTTCTTCATTTTTTGTCTGTAGCCATTTAATTCACTGATATAGCAGATTATGGCTTTCTTTTGCAGTTGCTTAAATTAATCATTACTTAAAATAAAGACAATGCATTTTGCACTAAAAGAACATACTTTTAGCCACCAAAAAATCCCAAACTGTGTCGACATTTTAAAAAAAATGTTAAAAAATATTTAAAAATCCGATTAAAATTTTTAAAATCGATTTTAAAAAATTTTAAATAAAAAAATTTAAAAGATCACCAACCCTGCCTATCTGGTCCCATCCCACTTTGATTACACTGTCAAACAAGTCAGCCTTCGCCCCTAGCCAAACCTGTCTAAACGGAAACCTGTCAGAATCTCCCCGCTCCTCCCTTGATGTAATATTCCTCTTTAATAACCTGTATAAAACGGAAACCTGTCGGACGCGGAAACGGAAAGAAAAATCAGCTCCCTTCTGAGGGTTTTACCTGTCTAAGCCGGAAAATGCTTTGCCCGCTCAGCCCTGATTTGAAACAAAACTCGCAAGTTTGGTTCCGCCGGTTTTAAACTTAATGTCATGCCGCTGGGAGAGGAAGGGGCGAGGGGGTGCAATTTGGGGGTAGATGTTACTCCATCTATGTGAGCACTGAGAAATGCAGATAGTCAGGGTAGTGTGGGTGTGAAATATCACGAGTGCCAGTGAAAGTGCTCGAGTAGCGAGCCACCACGGAACCTTTCCAGAGTAGCCAGAAGTCAGGTATGAAATTAGTTTGACCAATGCCTGCCGCCCTGATCATATTCATACGGCCAGCTGAGAAACGAGATCCTCAAATTGTTGTTACATGATGGCAATGAGGGGTGGCATTAGGTGACTGTGTTTGTTACACTGATGGTAGGGGCTAAGGGTGGAAGCAAAGGAGATGTTCAAGCGTTTTTGCTTTTAATGGGTCAAACAATGGTCCTATGAAATGCAGGCACTGGTGGGAATTTGGTAATAGGATAAGTAAGACTGACACATGTCATTATCAGTGAGGATAGCAGTTGAGGTGGTAAGTTTTGACCAGTGCTTGCCAACTGGACAAGCGACCCTTGATCCAACCGGCTGGGCCTTTAACCCCCCCCCCCCCTCCCCCTCCATCTCCCCTGTATAAGACGGAAAATGCCTAAGACGGAATTTTTTTTTCTGGCCACCTTGTCATTTTGTCTTACACAGGTTCGAGTGTACATGATTTTATTGCATAATTAGAGAGTGGGATGAGATAACGAAAATGCTGTGGGCTGGAGCTAATAGCCTTTAATAGGGGCAGGGTTGAAGGCTGAAGAGAAAATTTAGTCGTACTTGTGCTGAATTTTTCAATTCAAATTTTTAAACTCTTTATCTCCAACAAGCCCGTCCTAGCGGCCTGTGGTCAGAACTGCAGTGCTGGTGAACTGCTCGGTCACATTCCTTTAGGATGATTTTGACATTATATTTATTTACAGCGACTGCTGAAACAGGTCCTTCTTTCCGGGAGTTCTTTCTTTAGATGAAGAACTATCAAATAGGTTCATTTTTTACAATTAGTTATCAATTTAGTGATGTGTATGTCACTTTCAGGTTTTGTACCAAAAGAGGGCCCGTGCATAGTGGGAAAACCCTGCAGAGTTAATACGTACGGTCATCTCCAACTGGGCCAGCTGAACATCCTGCCGGAGGGTCTCGTCTGAGATCTTGTAATTCCTACCAATTAAATCATAAAAATACATCACAGCCTGCGCACAGCACATATGAGAAAACAATACTGGAGAGTCTGTTGATTCCGGAATTTATGGATTTCTATCAGTGTCTGTTAAAGAAACACAGAAACAAGACTGCAATACCTTACACAAGACCAAATCAGTTGATTAGAGGTAGATATAAAGAAACAAAAATGGTTATTAATTTACTTCCATTTCAAATCATGTAGGCTATATTTCAGTACAAAATGATATAATATGACATCTACAGTACAAAGATACCATGCATTGTCAATGTGAAACTTAAACATAATTTTGCTGAACGGAATGTCTATGTACACGGTAACCGGGCACCTAGCCTCAGAGTACCATACACGGTAACTGAGCAAGTAGCCTCAATATCTATGTAAACGGTAATTGGCAACCGGGCACGTAGTAAAAAAATGTTAAAAATATTTAAAAATCCGATTAAAATTTTTAAAATCGATTTTAAAAAATTTTAAATAAAAAAAATTAAAAGATCACCAACCCTGCCTATCTGGTCCCATCCCACTTTGATTACACTGTCAAACAAGTCAGCCTTCGCCCCTAGCCAAACCTGTCTAAACGGAAACCTGTCAGAATCTCCCCGCTCCTCCCTTGATGTAATATTCCTCTTTAATAACCTGTATAAAACGGAAACCTGTCGGACGCGGAAACGGAAAGAAAAATCAGCTCCCTTCTGAGGGTTTTACCTGTCTAAGCCGGAAAATGCTTTGCCCGCTCAGCCCTGATTTGAAACAAAACTCGCAAGTTTGGTTCCGCCGGTTTTAAACTTAATGTCATGCCGCTGGGAGAGGAAGGGGCGAGGGGGTGCAATTTGGGGGTAGATGTTACTCCATCTATGTGAGCACTGAGAAATGCAGATAGTCAGGGTAGTGTGGGTGTGAAATATCACGAGTGCCAGTGAAAGTGCTCGAGTAGCGAGCCACCACGGAACCTTTCCAGAGTAGCCAGAAGTCAGGTATGAAATTAGTTTGACCAATGCCTGCCGCCCTGATCATATTCATACGGCCAGCTGAGAAACGAGATCCTCAAATTGTTGTTACATGATGGCAATGAGGGGTGGCATTAGGTGACTGTGTTTGTTACACTGATGGTAGGGGCTAAGGGTGGAAGCAAAGGAGATGTTCAAGCGTTTTGGCTTTTAATGGGTCAAACAATGGTCCTATGAAATGCAGGCACTGGTGGGAATTTGGTAATAGGATAAGTAAGACTGACACATGTCATTATCAGTGAGGATAGCAGTTGAGGTGGTAAGTTTTGACCAGTGCTTGCCAACTGGACAAGCGACCCTTGATCCAACCGGCTGGGCCTTTAAC